TTGATTGTTAAAAAGATCAGTACAAAAAGATTGTACAAAGATCAATAGAAAATTAATAGCAGAACTCAATAGTCATTTGCCTTCAGCATATATATGCTATATCTCAGAATTTTATAGTGCTATCCTAAACAGAATGAATAAGAATCTGTGCTCTGAAGAAGATACCCAAAATCACAAACTTCTCCAACTACATTTTAGTCTGCTCTTTTTTATTCCTACCCCCACTGAGTGCAGAACTATGTTTATGCATCAAATTATTACACAACAACCTTTTCGATAGCAATTATAACTGGCCTTTGAATAATACACTTTACCTGTCTTTGAGAAGTGAACATGGCTGTTTGCTTGGCTTGTGGAGGGGAAATAGGTTCCCATGTGGGGAGGAATTATCAGGTAGCATGCTTAATACATTGGGGTGGACTGTGGGTATCATTTATCCAGTAACTAATTAGTTTTATAGCAATTTCAGCCTCATATAGTCATGAAATCATTGGAGAGAGAAACAGAGCAGTACTGGGTCAATCCCTGAAACACTGCAAGGCATATGTTCAAAACCAATATCAATCTTAGTTCCTATGCTGTCTCACTGTGTATCTCCCAGACTGACTGGGAATTGAAGCAGAATTTGCTGAGATTAATTTGAAACACATACCTCCTTGTCAATGTTGCACTGGAAAGAAAATTGAAAATTAAGAAGGAAAAAGCTGTTTAAGAACTTTAAAGAGGATTGACAAGAACCTTCTACCTTCCGTGAAGTACAGAAAGCTGAAATATCAGTGGCCTTGTGACTTGGAGGACTGCTGTAAGAATATGTTGAATGTGGAGATTAAAACCATTTTGGTCAGGGTCCAAGTGGGAGCAAGTTTGGGGATTTCACTGCCACTGATCAAAGACAAGAAGGAAATCTGCAGGCTGTTACTGCACATTGTTACTGCTCTTACTTTAAACAAATTACCAAATGAGATGATTATATAGAAATCAGGCCAGAAAAGTGCCTCTGCTCTTCAGAAAGATACAGAATAAAGAACTAAGAATTCCTTTTGCCAGTTTTAAAGCTAATACAATGCAACCTCTGTTTACCCCCAAGTCTAATCCACTGGTTTTTTTAAATATATATATATATATTTAAAATCTGAATGAAATTTGGATATCTTGCAACTCTGTCCCAAAAATGGACAGAGTGAACCTACTGTTGTCTTGTGATACCTAACTGACTAGCCAAACTCTAATTAATAGAACTTCTGTTTGAAGGCATTTTTATTTGAAGGGCTGTCCAGTCCAAATACATTTTCAAACTTATATGCCTAGAATACACAGGAGAGCCTTTTAAATTATCTGCCAAGAATTGGAACAGCGGTCATTTCATTTACATGAACAAAGCCTGCTCTACTATAGTAACACGCATTATATTTCCAATCAAATCGTAATTTGAATTTATAGATTAATTCAAATGTGCATTCTACTGGAAATCTTTGCCATTGTTGTTTTACTTTGGTAATGTGCAAATGACAATTTTGGAAGTGACTTTTTGGAGATTGAAAAACCACCCTTCCTGCATTCTGCCTAAGTCTTCTTTTCTCTGCTTGCTCCCTGTTGAAAGGGATAGTTATAGCACTCCCCTTACTTTACCCACAACAAGAGCTCTATAAAGCTGAGAGATGATGAGTTGCCCACACATGTCCAGGGCTTTTTCAGGATGATGTTGGACTGAAATATGAGTCTTCCAAGATTTTAGCTTCTACAACACACTGTATTCTTCTATCCTGCCTGCTTCTTCCTTTGTATATAACAATTCTATTGCCAGCCTTTTGAACAAGAACAGAAAGAAATATGGATCCATGACAGACATCAACTCCAATATATTTCCTATTCCACCTCATAGAACAGTGAAGTCAAAATCTAAATTTTTCAGAGAGAGGGAAAATGGAATTGTTCACTGAAGTCAAAGCTAAGCAAGACTCCATTTATAGCTTGGCTTCTTAAAATGTACTACAACCACATAGGGTTCACTGTGGCTTCCAGCAGGCCATTCAAGGAGTTGACAATGGAGAAGGTTACACGCTGAAGAAAAATATATATAAAAATGCTATTTTTATACTTGGGAAAAATAGGGTATAAATAGTTATGTACATAAAAAATATGCAGAAATGGAATAGAATTAATTCAAACTTTCAATGAGAAAACATACAAAATGGAAATAGATCTGTCCATGTATACACACACTGAGGTAGCTGATGACCAGCACAATCCCTATATTCACCCCAGGTTTTCTACTCCAGCAGACATTTGATGGCACATAATACCAGGCTAATTCTTACTCTTTCCTATATATTACTTTAGCTATAAAAGAGGAAGAACCCAAGTTCCCTGTCTTTGCCTTTTGAAAATTTACCTGCACAGACTTTTTAATAAATGCTACTTCTCTAGCTGAGAATTCATTTACATTTTAAAGATGAAAAAATCAAGTACATATCTTCTGGATAGATCATTGTTCTACAGTTGTTGAGGTAAAACTGTCTCTCTTTGTACTTATATTCAGTTGGAAGTGGCTTGACTAGAACCTTTTGGAACAGAGCTTCAGTTAATTATTGAATTTGTCCTGATGGATTAGCTGGCTTTTTTCCTACAGTATGCTCTCACCTTTCTGAACTGCTGGAGAACATGATGAAAGTGTCATTATTGTGTCTACAAAAAGCAATGCTGTTTGAAATGATACCTATGCACTTGAGAAGTCTTTATTTCTCTGTCTCTGTCACCATGCCAGTCCATTTTCTAAGAACATGATAGTAAAAGCTATTTAGAGTACAGGTTTCATGGTATAATCCTAAAAGCATTAACCTGAATTTAAAGTTAATATACCAAACTCAGTGGGAACTACTATAAAGTAAGAATATGTAGAATTAACTCAAGAGTCCCCCCCCAAGTAAATAATTTGTTGTTTTAATTGATAAGAGCAGTTTGGCGATGAATTAGTTATGTAGAAGATTATTATTGTTCCCAGTGAAGGTTTTCAAAGGTTTTTGCTCTGGATTGTTTATACCAGATTTTTATTTTTATTTTTTTTAAGATCACATGGCTTTCAAAGGCAGGCACCCATTCTGTGATCTATGGGTAGAGACAATTCAGTAGTCCTCCAAGCATTAACTTTAAAATTCAGTCCATCACAGTCCACATTCGCCACTCTGCCAATGAAATTCTAAAGGAAATAAGACATGAAATAAAACTTCGTGTCCATGATGAAGTTCTTCATTTTAGTAAATAAATTTGCTTAATGTGAAATTAACTGATTAATTTACAATTGCTCATCCTTCTTTAAAGGATGGGGGATTATTCTAGGACTAGGTCATCCTTTTCATTCACATGGTACACTGGAAACCCATATTTTTTCCCCAGAATTCCTTGAGGTGCAGTGACATTCTGTGGTTCCTTCTGAGGTAATAAGTCATAGTTTTTTCAGAAGATAGAATATTTTAAAACAAAACTATAGCCCTATATTTTGGATTTATATTAAAGCCTAGCTTAGGCATTAAATTTTCAGGACTAATCTAATAGCAAAGGGAAAATGAAATTAAGCTCAGGATTGAACTGTTTGGGTCCTTGATGCTCTCTGAGCTTGGTTGTTTTCTTCCAGATGTTTCATTGCCAAACTAGGTAACCTCATCAGTGCCAGTGTGGTTTGCTCTCAGTTTATATTCTAGTGCAGGGGTATCAAACTCGCAACGTCACGTGACATGTCGCAACATATCACAACTTTTTTTCCATTGCCTGCAATGGGGTGGGCGCGGTTTCAGCATGACGCATCCGGCCCATGGGCCAGCAGTTTGACACCCCTGCTCTAGATAATCCCCATTTCTGCCAACTTCACTCAAATGACATTAGCTTCCTTAAGTCAGGAATTAAGTATGACTATCTGCAAGGGTGGATTTTAACACTTAACACAGCATTTAGCTATGAAGTCACTGGGAGCCAAGCCTAATGTGGCGGCACCTAACCATCTGCAGGAAGAAAAAAATTGTTACATCTGCAGACATCTGCAGAGTGATATCAGTAAGGAATAGGTTTACAATGAAAAGCACAATGGGCAAATGAGGATCATAGATCTAAGAATGAAGAGTCCTCAAAGCAGCTTCTGGCTGCTACTGGAGAATTGTTTCTTTCTGTGTCTATCCCAAATCTTAGGATTGGTGAATAAATTAAATTGTAGATTGTATTCTATTTCTATTAATTGAAACATTGTTTTTCAGGCATTCCTTTAAGAGCCCATTTGTGCTGCTTCTGTTTTTAATCAACTGGTAGATTGTTTTGGTGCTATTAATCTGCTTTTGATTAATTGCAATTTTCTCTGAAATCATTCTTAAAAAGAAATCCATATTACAAAGAAAGAAACAAAATAATTAAAAACAAATTGGCTTTGGATAGTTAGGGAATAGAGACTTATTTATCCAAATATTTACCGTATGTGTTATATGAAAGTTAGTTCTGCTGAATTCAATTAAATGTTAAATGTTTTCATTTGTTTCATTTAAAATTTGTGTATGGCACCTCCAGAAACAAAATACTCTGAGCAACTTACAACACAAAAACATNCTGTAAATATATGCACAAAGATTCAAATTCTTGATTCCAACATTTCTTTTGTAATAATTCATCTAGAAGCATTAAGAAAAAATACTATCATCTATTGTAGTCTCTGTAAATTGTACATTTACAATATAGTCAGGTAATACAGGCTTGTCTTAAAAGATCTGACTTTGGAGCTCTTTAAACATTATAATGTATGAGGGTGCAGGTTCAGTCTCCGAGCTAGTGGGTTGGTTTCTGAACATTTGGAATCCAACCCACAAGCTCGGAGAATGAACTTCTACCCTCATCTTATACCCGAGCTACAGATATTTGCCAATAGCACAAATATAATGTATTAAAGTACTTACGTATGTATGATAACCTTCATACTGTCTGTATAAAGTGCACTCATTGTCTTGTTTTTCCTTTCCCTCCAGGTCCTTTCAATATGTCCCAAGGACATGAGAGCGGATATATGCGTGCATCTTAATCGGAAGGTTTTTAATGAACATCCAGCTTTTCGGCTAGCTAGTGATGGCTGCCTGCGAGCACTTGCAGTGGAATTCCAGACAATCCATTGTGCTCCCGGAGACCTTATCTATCACGCTGGTGAAAGCGTAGATGCCCTCTGCTTTGTTGTCTCAGGATCATTAGAAGTCATACAGGATGATGAGGTGGTGGCCATCTTAGGTAGGATGATGAACTGGCAGCCATCTTGTATGGCTGCCATTACTCTGATACAAATGGGGCATTTTTGTGCACTTTAAAGTGATAAGACAATTGCTTAAAATGTCAAGGGGGTACTATCACCCAGTCATTGTTATTTAACAAGTTATATTTAGACATGTTGTTGTTATAGGTAAAATCCATTGATGAGGGTTTTTTTGACAAAATTCCAGACTACAAAAGTTTAGATCAGGGGTGTCAAACTCGCAATGTCACGTGACGTGTCACGACATATCATGACTTTTTTTCTATTGCCGGCAATGGGGTGGGCGCAGTTTCACCATGACACATCCGGCCCACAGGCCGGCAGTTTGACACCCCTGGTTTAGATGGTGTTTGAATCTATTAAGTTTTGTGCTTAATTCTTACCGTATTTATTTTCTTATATAAAATAAAAATGTTTATATAAAATAAATATTCATATTCTCCCTTTCCCCCGAAGGCTCATAAAGGTGTACATTGAATTTTCTTCCTTGGTTTTTAACCACAAGAATCCTGTAAGGGCTTGGGCTGAAACAATTAGTCACATAGGAACAAAAATTAATCAGCCTACTTCCCCATCATGGATGACATGATAGCAATGTTCCAATATCTAAAGGGTTGCCACAAAGAAGAGGGAGTCAAGCTATTCTCCAAAGCACCTGAAGGCAGGACAAGAAGCAATGGATGGAAACTAATCAAGGAGAGAAGCAACCTAGAACTAAGGAGAAATTTCCTGACAGTTAGAACAATTAACCAGTGGAACAACATTGCCTCCAGAAGTTGTGAATGCTCCAACACTGGATCTTTTTAAGAAGAGATTGGACAGCCATTTGTCTGAAATGATATAGTGTTTCCTTCCTAAGTATGGGGTTGAAGTAGAAGACCTCCAAAATCCATTCCAACTCTGTTATTCTGTTCTATTCACCCAAATTTGTTTACTCTATTAGCAAAAGTCATTTTTTTTTAAAAAAAATCCTTCTTTATACCCTCATACATTTTGAGAGTAGATTGTGAGAGTATAATTATTTCAAGCTAGCAAAATAATGGGCACAAGGTCACCTAGATGCAAACATTAATTGCTGACTGTTAGGAGCTGCACATAATTTTTTACTCCTATTTATATTATGCACAATATTATTAAATACAATTAAGAAAAAATAAATGAATATATGTTATTTTCCTCCTGTCCATGACCTGCTTTAATATAGTAATTAGCTAGAAATGTAAGATGCTTGGCTATTGTATAAGCTTGCTAATGCTGTGGTAATGAAGTGTGTGTAATATAATAGCCTCCCCAAGGAAACATCACAAGTGTGCTGCTCATCCTATCAGAATGAGAAACGTCATTCTAGAACTACATCCATCAGAACAGAAATCATTGATTCATAAATACTGTGAATTGTTTGCTCGGTATAATACTTATTTTCATAGGGAAAAGTAAACATACCCACCACATTTAAATTTAACAATGGGTAAAATGAGACATATTCAAGTGGTACAGACGGTTGATGAGGAATGAAACTTTATAGAATAATTTTCTTTGGGCCAAGGCCACATTTGATTACCTGTTTCCCAAAGTAAAGAGCCAAGAATAAATACTAAGATTGGTTTAATTCAGTTTAACTATAAGCCTAATTAAAGCTAGATGCAATGAATTAAATACAGTTATTTAGAGTAGAGTAGAGTAGAGTAGAGTAGAGTAGAGTAGAGTAGAGTAGAGTAGAGTAGAGTAGAGTAGAGTAGAGTAGAGTAGAACAGAACAGAACAGAACAGAACAGAACAGAACGGAAAACAGAGTTAAAAGGGATCTTGGAGGTCTTCCAGCTCAGGCAGGAAACCCTACACCATTTCAGATAAACCTATGTATTAAATAAATAATATATATTAAATAAATATCCCTCTTCCTCATTTCAAAACAATTTGATGAGCAATTTGGAAGAGCGCTGATGGCTGCATTCAGGACCTCAGAAGCCATGTGATCCTGGGATCTCACATTATGCACAATCATCCTAATGTTAACTGCCATGGTAAAACATTTTTCAAAACTGGGAGCACCAAAAGATTTACTTAAGGATATCCTTTCCTCATGTGGTACTGTTTCTCCCTCATGAGTCTTGATTTCAGGTGGGATTTAGGAATCATCCATATCTGATCTTTTCACTTTTAAATCCAGGCAAAGTCAGTCTCTGTCCTGAGGTGATTTGGCTTTTCTTTTAGCAAACTTGGTAGCCCTCAATCTACTTTTAACAAGCTGCAAGGAATCAATCAATCTTCCCTCAAGGAAGACCCTTCTCTCTTTTCTGTCATCCTGATGACAACAAAGCAGAGGTGGAACAGATGAGAGGGAAGGAAGAAATGATGAGAAAATGAAAGAGATTGAAAAGAGGATGGAACAAAAAGAGGGAAGAAAACATGGCTGTAAACACTTTAGTGTCTGGGCTTACAAGAATGTAGTTCCTCAGATAATGTGCCTCTTATAGAAACCAGTTCTTAGATCTGTTTTAGCCCTGTTGTTTCCCAAGAGTCCACTGATGGATTTCACCCTGTTCCTTACAGTTATTTTCATTTACCTTGCTGTAGTTACAGTACATGAAACTCATCTAAAAAAATAAAAAAGAATGGACATAAGAGTTGTGTACAAGAGCAAACAGAGCTGGACTGTTCGAATATATTTTCTGCTATATAAAATGTCACATTCTTACTATTAGAAACTATATGAACTAAGATGGTTGTAGAATAAATGCTTTGGATAGAAAGCTTTCAAATTCACATCCTTTGATATTAGAAAGTTTCTTTCTAATATGGCATCAGAACAGTGTCACATCCTTCTTAGAGTACCATTAATCTACAAGCTATTAGCAAAGAATGAATGGAATATATCTGCAGAAGCAAAAATTTATACAAAAAATGTTCCTATTAGGGCAAATTGAGTTGAAATGTGCACAAAAAGGGAAACTTGATAACAGAAAGGAATACATTTGAGTGTATATGTTAAATCACAGATCGATGTGGAAATTGGATGGGGTAGAGTTGGAGTGAAACCAACTAAGATCAAAATTAGACAAAATTGTCCACTACTGGTTCATATTGATTTGCTATAGTAGATGGCAGGTGCTTTCTGAGGATAACTAATGCCTATATCTTTAGGGGGAATGATTTACTATCAACCAGCTAAAGGTCTTTTGCCAATTAAATACTGTTTTTTAACCAATTACTGTGTATTAATTACTTGGCTACAATTTGCTATGGGAACATATTTAGACTAGTAAATTTTTGAATAAAGGTGTCTGCTTCTTTTGATATATGGAATAACTTAACATTCAGCAAACATCTTCAAAAACCGAGAAAGCCTCATAGACTACAGTGTTGGGACTTTGTTAGAGACCAGATTATTTTTTTAAACATTACTAGCTAACCTCTTACCAATTAATTGCTGTTAAAGGAAAAAAGTCAATAGTTCCATATTGTCTTGATTAAATAATGTTCAGTTATGATTCCTAGCCTTCCCAAACATGCCTTAAGCCCGATCTAAGAAGTCTTCCTCCCAATCAACCTTGCCTTTGGCTGCAATTCATGTTCTTCTATGTTGTGGAATGAAGCTAGCAGGCCAAGTATCACACTTTCCTATTGCAAAGCAAAGAATTGGAGACATATATACACTTGTAACACTTTCCTTCTGTTGCAGAGGCATGTGGAAGAAAAAGAAAAGAATTTCAGTTTCAGTGATTCCACAGAGCTACCACCTAATTGCATTTAAGTTAGCGGTCCTTGCTAAAGACATCTGAGATACTGGCCATTCTTTTTCTTATGAAGGCAAAACCCATGAATTAATTTTCTCCAGAACATGCATGATTGTCATACCTTTAGCACGTCCACATTCACCTTTGTTTCCATATTGATTATGTCCTCTAAGTTCCATTACTAAGTTAGCCTGGGTCTTCCATAAGACTCCTGCTGCTCATTCTTGGCCCAGACCTTCTGTGGTATCGGATCTATTGAAACAAGAGAAGCCCTTTAGTGATAATGAAGCAAAGCAGCCAGTGACTTCCTAAAGCATAATCAAAGAGAGACTAAAAATTCAGATGTAACATTTTTATGCAGGATTATGGCTTCCTACTCTCCCAAGCCTAGCAAGAGTTCAATTTAACACCTGTAAAGACAAACCATTTTTTAAAGATAAACCATTTTGGTTTGCCACCTTGATATCCTTGCAGAAAGTATATGGCATGATTTGTTAAGTTATATTAAGTGAAACAAATTGAAGAGCAAATAGTGTATATTGATCTTTAACAGTAGTAATTTTACTTTTCTCTTATGTATTTCAACATTTCAGCCTTTATTTGATCAGTGATTGGTAAGAATTTCAGTCCATCCTAGTGTCAATAGGAGCAGCTTTAATTACCGAAAATATCTTTTACTCTTTTCATCATCCTGGGTACACCATCCTGTGAATTACTTATTATGTCACCAAGAATTCTGATACAAAATATAAATTGATCTCAAAGGGAATTGCGCAATAAAGAGTTTGACTAGGCCTTTCCTTAAGGTACTTTGTCAAATTGCTTAGCTACAGTGATTCATGAAGCTGATTTGTTTTTCAATTAACAGAAAAAAGTGGTTGTCAATGGAGCAGCTGCAGGAATGAAAGAATCTGTGCCAGATGAATAAGGAAAAACTCCTCTCATCCTTGAATTACACTGCATGAAATGGTAGAGAAGAGATCAAATAGTTGCACCTTCTATTCCTGAAGTTACCTTATACTAAATGTTACTTCTCAGAGGCAAAACTGGCAGTTGTTAGTGGTAAAGTTGATTTTGAGATACAGGTAGTCTTTGACTTACACCCACAGTTGAGCCACAATTTCTATTGTTAAGTGAGATATTTGTTAAGTGAGTTTTGATCCATTTTACGACTTTTCTTGCCACATTTGTTAAGTGAATCATGCAGTTGTTAAGTTAGTAACAAGGTTGTTAAATGAATCT